GAAACTGTAGAAGATGTAAACAGATGCACAAAGTCATACCTGCTCATGATTGGTAGGATAAATATCGTTAGAAATCGTTTCATCAATACCTAAAGTGATCTACAGAATTAACGAATCGGCTCCTATCAAATACCGATCATCATTCTTACACATCTAGAAAAAAATTGCTGATGTCTTTGTAGTGGAACCAGGAGCACCCGTATAGGTCACACAATCATTAATAAAAAGAACAAAACTGGGAGGTATCAGTCTACCGACGACTTCAAGCTGTACTACAAGGGCCATAATAACTAAAACAAGCATGGGGGCGTACTGAAACACAAGAACAGAAGATCATAGACCTTTGCGAACAGGACTGAGAATCCCAGAGAGAAACGTACCCATGTGTAATCTACATCTTCACAAAGCAGACAAAAATATACACTGGGGAAAAGAATCTCTTTTCATAAATGGTGCTGGAAAACTGGATAGCTACATGCAGAAGAATGAAACCTGGATCCCCACTCTCACCTTTCAAAAAATCAATTAAGATGGATACAGACTTCTAACTAAGCATGAACCTAAGAATTCTAGTAGAAGATGGTGGGAAGACCCTTCAGACATCAGCCTAGGCAAAAATTTTGAAGAAGACCCCAAAGCAATCACCACAGCAACAAAAGAAAATAAATGGGATCTGATCAAATTAAAAAGTTTTGCACGGCCAAGGAAACTATCATTCGAGAGATAGACAGCCTACAGAATGAGAGAAAATATTTGCTCTCTACCATCCAATAACAGGCTGATAACAAGAATCTATCCAGAACTTAAAAATCAACAGAAAAAATCTAACAACCCATCAATGAAAGCGGGCAAAGGAAATGAACGAATCTTTTCAAAAAAAGAATAATGGCCAGCGAAACATATAAAAAAAAATGCTCAACATCTCTAATCATTAGAGAAATGAAATCAAAACCACAATGAGATATCACCTAACCCAGTGAGATTGGCCTCCTATCAAAAAATCCCAAAAACAACAAATGCTGGTGAGGATGTGGAGAGACAGGAGCACTCGTTTTTTTTGTTTTTGTTTTTGTTTTTAGACAGAGTCTCACTCTGTTGCCCAGGCTAGAGTGCCATGGTGTCAGCCTAGCTCACAGCAGCCTCAAATTCCTGGGCTCCAGCGATCCTTCTGCCTCACCCTCCCGAGTAGCTAGGACTACAGGCATGCACCACCATGCCCGGCTAATTTTTTTTATATATATTTTTAGTTGGCCAATTAATTTCTTTCTATTTTTTAGTAGAGACAGGGTCTAACTCTTGCTCAGGCTGGTTTCGAACTCCTGACCTTGAGCGATCCACCTGCCTCGGCCTCCCAGAGTGCGAGGATTACAGGCGTGAGCCACTATACCCGGCCTATGAGAGCACTCTTACACTGCTGATGGGACTGCAAATTAGTGCAACTTCTTTGGAAAAGAATTTGGAGATACCTCAAAGAGCTAAAAATAGAAACACCATTCGATCCACAATAGCACTATTAGGCATCTACCCAAAAGAGCAAAAGACATTCTATAATAAAAACATCTGCACCCGAATGTTTATGGCAGCACAATTCACTATTGCAAGGATGTGGAAACAACCTAAGTGCCCGTCAATTCATGAGTGGATTATTAAAATTTGGTATATGTATACAATGGAATATTACTCAATTATAAGAAACAACAGTGATCTAGCACCCTTATATTTTCCTAGATTGAGCTTGAGCCCATTATCTGAAGTGAGGTATCACAAGATCGGAAGAATAGGCTCCACCTGTACATGCCATCAAATTGACACTAACTGATTAATACTATGGTGCTCACATGGTAGTATTATTCTCCAGGGATTGGGGGTTGGGGAGTAAACTCATAGCTAAAGGACACAGTGAGCACTGTAGAGGGGAAGGGCATGCTTCTAACCTTCGCTTGGGTAAGGCGAAGACATAAAATGTAACCAAAATGTTTGCACCCTCATAATATCCTGAAATTTAAAAAAAAGTCTTTATTCCTTAAAGAAAATAAAAAAGAGGTGATTCTAATATACAGCTGAGATTGAGAACACTAAAGTCAGGGTTCCATTAGGAACCACAACTTTCAGAAGTTTTTGTATTGAAAAGACTCATTTTTGCTAGTGAACAGGAAGTTGTTTGATGCAGCCTTTGTGGTGTACCATTTACACCTGACTAATGTGTGCCTTGCACTGGGGGTTGCACAATGGTGTTTTTCAGACGGTGGGCAGTGGCTTACTAGGAGGTGATCAAATAGGTTTAGACGGTTGCAACTGGCATTTTTGTTTGTTTGTTTTAAGACAAAGTCTCACTCTGTTGCCTGGGCTAAAGTGCCGTGGCATCAGCCTAGCTCATAGCAACCTGAAACTCCTGGGCTCAAGTGATCCTCCTGCCTCACCCTCCTGAGTAGCTGGGACTACAGACATGCGCCACCGTGCCTGGCTAGTTTTTTCTATATATTTTTAGTTGACCAATTAATTTCTTTCTATTTTTAGTAGAGACAGGGTCTCGCTCTTGATCAAGCTGGTTTCAGACTCCTGACCTTGAGCAATCCTCCCACCTCGGCCTCCCAGAATGGTAGGATTACAGGCGGGAGCCACCATGCCCGGCCCTTTATTTTAAAAATAAATAAAATATATCTTCCACTGCTCACAAAAAAAAAAAGAAAAAAAAATAATAAATAAATAAATAGATAAAATAGAAAACATCAGAATCCATCATAGATAATTATTTTGTAATAATACAGAATATTATTTTGTAAAATGAGTGTGTGTGTGTGTGTGTGTGTGTGTGTGTGTGTGTGTGTGTGTATGCGCGCATGTGTATGTGAGCTTGTACTGGGTCTTGGTATAAGCACTTATCTTAATGAAGATCATGGTCAAAAAAAGTGTAAAACTCTAACTTTATCCACTGATGCTAATTCTTATAGAATGTAGGTCTTTTATTTTACATAAGAAATCTGGGGCTCTGTATGCAAGATAGCAGTAACCATGGGCTTAGACAACTTTTGAAAATTGAATATACAGCCTTAAAATAGAATGTGGACCTAAATACCCAGAAGCATCCACCTGCATAAGATTTGTAGCAAAAATTAATATGAATGGAGTTAAAAGTTCTAATGCATTGGTGGACCCAAGAGGCTATCAGTGCTAGCAAAACGGCAGAATTCACAAGGTATCAAAGTAGTCCTGCAAGAACTTCAGCGCCTAACCGATGTCTAAAGAAAACATGAAACTCTCTCAGCCACCCACAGAGCAGTGTTACGGTAATTAACCAAAGACAGAAACCACAGGCCCTTTTATTTCTTCCATTCAATTTAAGCAGTCTTCATTTTTCATAGTAATAAATGTTTCAGGTACATCTAGCAGAACTCAAAATGCTAGAAAGGAAGCTCCCTTACAAAAGCAATTTATCTTAAGGCACTGTAAATGATACTCATTTTTTGCCCATTTGAAATATATAAGTTGTGCTGTAGCAAATCATCCTGTCAAGTGTAAAGGCTGTCCAGATAGTTGAACTTCTAGAATCAAGAAAGTATATTTGGCCTGTAATCCTAGCTCTCTGGGAGGCCGAGGTGGGGGATTGCTCGAGGTCAGGAGTTTGAAACCAGCCTGAGCAAAGACAGACCCGTCTCTACTATAAATAGAAAAATTAATTGGCAACTAATATATTAGAAAAAATTAGCCGGGCATGGGTGGTGCATGCCTGTAGTCCAGCCACTTGGGAGGCTGAGGCTGGAGGATTGCTGAGCCAGGAGTTTGAGGTTGCTGTGAGTTAGGCTTACACCATGGCATCCACTCTAGCCTGGACAAAAAGCAAGAATCTGTCTCAAAAAAAAAAAGATTATATATATATATATATATAGTATATATATATATAATTATGAATGATTCCGGCATAAGTGGTGGGGCACATCTAAATCACCTGAGAAAAGAAGGTCACACAGCCACCTCTCTGCTAATTACATGGCCTGGGGTCTCTGCCTTCTTCCCATCCCCTCCCCTCGAGCTCTGTCCCACCCCCCCCAACCCCCACAGCAGCCCTCCAGCTTAGGGGGCTTGTTAGAACAGACATGAGGTTTTCAGATCGCAGCCTGTGGACCACCGCTGGGTAGTAGCAGTACCTTGGCACGCGTTGCCTTTAAGTCTTCAACGATGGCCCCTGTCCAAGCCATCATCTACTGTCACCAGGGTCCTCTGACCTGCCAGCTCTCAGAGTCCTTGGTGGTTAAACTTGGAGACACTTGTGAGAGTATGTAATCCCTCTGAATTGCTTTCTTTCCCTGAAAGTGCTTTTGCTTTTAACAATTGAAGAGGTTTTAAACGGGGCTCTCATGTGGCCATCCTTGCAACCCATTTAGGTCTAGTTTGGAATCTGACAAATGGAAGAAGAAGAACCTTACATTTGGTGCATGCTGTACTTTGATTTTGGTGCTGCTGCTTCTCAGGACCCTCAGCAGGGATTCAGAAAGAACTCTGGTGTGCACAGCAGGTCCCTGAAATTGGCAGTCTTGACTTCCTGGCAAATTGCTGCATTTTTCTACTTTCTGTTCAGGACCACTAAATGCTAAAATGTGGAAAATGCATACTGAAATAATAGCAATTCATTGTGTTTTTAAAAAAGAAAAAGTAAAATAAAGAAGAAAAAATATGGGTCCCTGAAAGATTTTACAACTTTATCCAAGGTCACCCAGATACACCAAGTGATGACTCACAGTTCAGATCCGGGCGTATGTGTCCGGACAGGGTCCAGACAGAAAGACATCCCTCTGTTGCACATGACGTCTTTCCATCACCAACACCCAGCTTACACCAATGTCATTGGCATAGCCTCAGGTCTCCTCTCACCTTGATGCACAAACTAGAAAGAAGGCCAGCTAACAGACAAAGTAAAGTGAAAAATAATAACAATTTTAACTAAAGGCCTTTTTCCTTTAAACATCTACCAAGTGAAGAAGGCTCTCCTGCTCCCATTCCAGAGCTTCTCAGCCTTGAACGAGGAAAGCTTTCTCTGCTGGAGCCTGGTCTCCTCTCCGCCTATCAACAGGAAGTTGAAGAGAAGTTGTGTTGTCCTGCCCAAGATAACCACGTATGTTCTCGCAGATGCTTCTTGGGTCACACACAGGGTGAACAGAGTCACAACATATTAAGGTGGTAACAACCCATTCCCTCTGCAGAAGCATAAGTTTCCTACATTCAAACCCAAATGGTGAGCCTGAGTGTACTGAGTGCTTAGAATTTTTAAAGAGAATTTTATTGAAGTATATCATACATGCAAAAAAGAGCAGAAGCTAAAAGGATGCAGTGCAATGAATTTCCACAAACTGAATGGCCCCATATACCACCACCCACATCAAGAGAGAGCACAGCAGTGAAACCCCTCACTCACATCCTCCCTCCCTGTCATTACACCCACAAGAGTAACCTCGACTCTGACTTCTAACCATATTTTGGGGAAAACTAAAATTGTATATAAGTGGAATTAGAATATTTTTACTCTTTTGTCTTGGGCTTCCCATGTTGTGTGTATAGTTTGTTCAATTCCATTTATGCTTAATGTTCCACTGAATGAATAGACAACAACTGAGTAAACCATCTTCTATTAGGGCCACTTGGATAGTTTCCAATTTGAGGCTATGAGTATTTCAGTGCTACTATGAATACTCTACTATATATATCATGGTGAGCATAAGCTCGTATTTCTCTTAGTTGTTTACTAGGAGAATTGTTGGATCAAAGGCAAATATATGTGTTTTAATAGGTCCTGTAAAAGAGTTTTCCAGTGTTGTACATTATACCTTCCCTACAAAGTAGTATAAGGAAAGTTCCAATTGCTCCACATCTTCACCAAAATTTGGAATTTTCTATCTATTTCATTTTAGCCATCCTCTGTGTATGTGTGCCTATTTAGTGTTTATGACACATTTCTTTTTTAAACTCAATTTTGTTGAGGTATGATTACATACGAGAAATGACATCCATTTAAAATATACAAGGTGATGAGCTTTGAAAGATGGATACACCAATAAAACCACTGCCACGATCAACACCCAGGATAGTTCAAATCCCAAAAGTCTTCTCATGGCCCGTCTGCACTTTCTGGGAGAGGGTGTAGAAGAGGAATGGGCTTCCCTTCCTGGTTCTGGGGCGACCCACTCGCCGGTCTCCAGCAGAGCACGTCTCTGAGAGACTTCGCTGCTGGGCTGTGCAGTTTCTCCCACGGTGGGCTCCTGCAAGACACAATGTTTCCAGGCTCTTGACAAGGGTAGCATTGGCAGGAGCCCCAGATAGTGTAGCATTAATTATATTTAATGTTAGTTGATTTAAACTTACTGTGCAATGCAAGCTTAGATTTTACTAAAAGTTTCTTTCAGAATTGTTCTTGCTAGAGTTTTATGGCTATTACCTCTATTATATTAATGAATTTCATGGACTATAAGTTTCTTAGTGACAAATTCTTGACTTATTCAGAACTTTTCCCTATGAGTTTTTAATCAGAAAAACAAAAAAACAAACTCTGCCTCCAAATAGTCTGAGGACCTCCCTCCCTCTGCCAAATGTTAGTAATAACGCACACGTGGCACGTCCTTGATTCTTTCTTTGCTTTAGGTTGAGGTTTCCAGGTTTGGAAATGAAACAGACTCTGGATGAATTTCATCTCTGGGTCTTCTCATCTGTGTTACAGTAAGCAAGCCCCTCAGTCTCTCTGAGCTCCAGCTTTCCCATCTGCAAGAGCAGAATCATAAGATCTGTTCCATGAGTGTCAGACACAGGCTAGACCCTCAATAAACGTGAGTCGTTGCCCACACTCCCTTCATCTGTTGAATGGTGCTATAAATGCCTGCATTCCACAGGGGTTTATTGTCCCACAAACCCTATGGGAAGTACAGAGCATCACAAAAAAGTGTCAAGTGTTGTTCCTTGAGTTAGAATGAGTAGGAGAAGAAATGGCAACTTCCACAGCCAAGGCCACTGAAGTAAAATACATGTCGGTCTTCAGTAGGTAAGCTTTATCTCGCCAAAGTCACCGAGAAATGCTCTTGCTAAGAGCCATCAGCAGAGTGTCTGCTCTCTTGCCAGGAGGAGAAACAAAGACTTGGGTCAGATCCACGATGGAACACATGGCTTTCTCTTGAGTGGGCCTTTACTCTAAGGAGGCCCAGGGCAGGGACTCTGCTCAGATCTCATGGTACGTCCCCTCCCAAGGGGGCAGATGGGGTTTATATCGGAGAGAACAGGTCTGAGAGCTGAGACTATTCTACAGCTTTTCCCTGGTACAGCAGGTCCTAACCAGGTGCTGGCAGAGGAGGTTGCTGGTACATCCCAAGGAATGAGGGAAGAGAAGGAGGAGATGGCAGGTGGGTGCACTGAGTGTCAGCTATCTGCCAGGTATTGGACAGCATTGTTAATGACACAGGCCAGAAAGTGTTAAACCAGTTAATCTTCACAACAAGAAATGCCATCACTGTCCCCATTTTACAGACAATGTATCTAAGGTTTAAGGAGCAAAGCAACTTAGGTGAGATTTAGGTGAGAAATAGCTAGCTGAGATTTGTACCCAGGTCATTGTGGCTCCATGATGTATGCTCTTGATCCTGATGTAATATTACCCCTGCTTCCACATGGTTTCCCACTTAACACTCACAGAAACTCCATAAGGTAAATGTTGCTGCCTTTTATAGATGGGAAATAGACTTGAGAGTTCAAATAACATTTCCCGAATTCACAGATCTGGAATTCTAGTAATAGAACTAATATTTGTACTCAGTTTTGTTTTATTTCTTTTTAATTCCACATGCAGGACTTTTTTTTTTCATATTACATAATAATAACAAAGATAATGACAGATAATATTTTTGAGCACCTACTGTGTACCTGGCACTGTTCTATGCACTTTACATGTCATAACTCATTTTATCATCACAATAAATATTTTGCAATGTCATTCTCATTTACAATGAAACCAAAGCACAGAATGATTATTTCCCAAGGTTGCATTGTCAATAAGTAGAAAAGTTGGGATTTGAACATGAGCAATGTGTCTCCAGAGCCACTTTTTAATCACTATGTTAGAGGCAACCCCAATGTCAGGACCTCTCTGCCACAGGTGGACAACTTTTGGGACTACTCTGATCATCTGGGCAGGATTGAAAGCCACAGGGTAAAATAAACATCTGAAGAAAGGCTTCGAAAAAAATGACAGAGCTTTGAGAAGAGCAGCCAGTTAGTTAGCTAAGAATGATTGTCATGGTTCTTTCTGGTCCACAAAATCATTTTGTTTTGATTCTCATGTACAACAAGACTGGCCTTGTTCTATCCACAATGGAAATCACTGTCTCTCACTCAGAGGGAAACTCATAACGCAATCACATTGATCTTGGGAGCAGTATCTTGGCAGTTTGAATAATTAGATTGTAGCTCTCAGCATGCACGGTCTGTTCATAAGCAACAAAGGAACTTATCAGATTCTAATAACCCTTAGTGCATATTATAAAGGTGGTAACAGCCCATTCCCTCTGCAGAAGCATAAATTTCCTACATTCAAACCCAAATGGTGAGCCTGAGTGTACTGAGTGCTTAGAATTTTTTAAAGAGAATTTTATTGAAGTATATCATACATGCAAAAACGAGCAGAAGCTAAAAGGGTGCAGTGCAATGAATTTCCACAAACTGAACGTCCCCATATACCACCACCCACATCAAGAGAGAGCACAGCAGCGAAACCCCTCACTCACATCCTCCCTCCCTGTCATTACACCCCACAAGAGTAACCTCGACTCTGACTTCTAACCATATTTTGGGGAAAACTAAAATTGTATATAAGTGGAATTATAATATTTTTACTCTTTTGTCTTGGGCTTCCCATGTTGTGTGTATAGTTTGTTCAATTCCATTTATGCTTAATGTTCCATTGAATGAATAGACAACAACTGAGTAAACCATTCTTCTATTAGGGCAACTTGGATAGTTTCCAATTTGAGGCTATGAGTATTTCAGTGCTACTATGAATACTCTACTATATATCTCATGGTGAGCATAAGCTCATATTTCTCTTAGTTGTTTACTAGGAGAATTGTTGGATCAAAGGCAAATATATGTTGTTTTAATAGGTCCTGTAAAAGAGTTTTCCAGTGTTGTACATTATACCTTCCCTACAAGTAGTATAAGGAAAGTTCCAATTGCTCCACATCTTCACCAAAATTTGGTATTTTCTATCTATTTAATTTTAGCCATCCTCTGTGTATGTGTGCCTATTTAGTGTTTATGACACATTTCTTTTTTAAACTCAATTTTGTTGAGGTATGATTACATATGAGAAATGACATCCATTTAAAATATACAAGATGATGAGCTTTGAAAGATGGATACACCAATAAAACCACTGCCACGATCAACACCCAGGATAGTTCAAATCCCAAAAGTCTTCTCATGGCCCGTCTGCACTTTCTGGGAGAGGCTCTGGAAGAGGAATGGGCTTCCCTTCCTGGTTCTGGGGCGACCCACTCGCCAGTCTCCAGCAGAGCACGTCTCTGAGAGACTTCGCTGCTGGGCTGTGCAGTTTCTCCCGCGGTGGCCTCCTGCAGGACACAATGTTTCCAGGCTCTTGACAAGGGTAGCATTGGCAGGAGCCCCAGATAGTGTAGCATTAATTATATTTAATGTTAGTTGATTTAAACTTACTGTGCAATGCAAGCTTAGATTTTACTAAAAGTTTCTTTCAGAATTGGTCTTGCTAGAGTTTTATGGCTATTACCTCTATTATATAAATGAATTTCATGGACTATAAGTTTCTCAGTGACAAATTCTTGACTTATTCAGAACTTTTCCCTATGAGTTTTTAATCAGAAAAACAAAAAAACAAACTCTGCCTCCAAATAGTCTGAGGACTCCCTCCCTCTGCCAAATGTTAGTAATAACGCACACGTGGCACGTCCTTGATTCTTCCTATACTTTAGGTTGAGGCTTCCAGGTTTAGAAATGAAACAGACTCTGGGTGAATTTCATCTCTGGGTCTTCTCATCTGTGTTACAGTAAGCAAGCCCCTCAGTCTCTCTGAGCTCCAGCTTTCCCATCTGCAAGAGCAGAATCATAAGATCTGTTCCATGAATGTCAGACACAGTCTAGACCCTCAATAAACGTGAGTCATTGCCCACACTCCCTTCATCTGTTGAATGGTGCTATAAATGCCTGCATTCCACAGGGGTTTATTGTCCCACAAACCCTATGGGAAGTACAGAGCATCACAAAAAAAATGTCAAGTGTTGTTCCTTGAGTTAGAATGAGTAGGAGAAGAAATGGCAACTTCCACAGCCAAGGCCACTGAAGTAAAATACATGTCGGTCTTCAGTAGGTAAGCTTTATCTCGCCAAAGTCACCGAGAAATGCTCTTGCTAAGAGCCATCAGCAGAGTGTCTGCTCTCTTGCCAGGAGGAGAAACAAAGACTTGGGTCAGATCCACGATGGAACACATGGCTTTCTCTTGAGTGGGCCTTTACTCTAAGGAGGCCCAGGGCAGGGACTCTGCTCAGATCTCATGGTACGTCCCCTCCCAAGGGGGCAGATGGGGTTTATATCGGAGAGAACAGGTCTGAGAGCTGTGACTATTCTACAGCTTTTCCCTGGTACAGCAGGTCCTAACCAGGTGCTGGCAGAGGAGGTTGCTGGTACATCCCAAGGAATGAGGGAAGAGAAGGAGGAGATGGCAAGTGGGTGCACTGAGTGTCAGCTATCTGCCAGGTATTGGTGGACAGCACTGTTAATGACACAGGCCAGAAAGTGTTAAACCAGTTAATCTTCACAACAAGAAATGCCATCACTGTCCCCATTTTACAGACAATGGATCTAAGGTTTAAGAAGGAAAACAACTCAGGTGAGATTTAGGTGAGAAATAGCTAGCTGAGATTTGTACCCAGGTCATTGTGGCTCCATGATGTATGCTCTTGATCCTGATGTAATATTACCCCTGCTTCCACATGGTTTCCCACTTAACACTCACAGAAACTCCATAAGGTAAATGTTGCTGCCTTTTATAGATGGGAAATAGACTTGAGAGTTCAAATAACATTTCCTGAATTCACAGATCTGGAATTCTAGTAATAGAACTAATATTTGTACTCAGTTTTGTTTTATTTCTTTTTAATTCCACATGCAGGACTTTTTTTTTCATATTACATAATAATAACAAAGATAATGATAGATAATATTTTTGAGCACCTACTGTGTACCTGGCACTGTTCTATGCACTTTACATGTCATAACTCATTTTATCGTCACAAAAAATATGTTTGCAATGTCATTCTCATTTACAATGAAACCAGAAACACAGAATGATTATTTCCCAAGGTTGCATTGTAAATAAGTAGAAAAGTTGGGATTTGAACATGAGCAATGTGTCTCCAGAGCCACTTTTTAATCACTATGTTAGAGGCAACCCCAGTGTCAGGACCTCTTTGCCACAGGTGGACAACTTTTGGGACTACTCTGATCATCTGGGCAGGATTGAAAGCCACAGGGTAAAATAAACATCTGAAGAAAGGCTTTGAAAAAATGACAGAGCTTTGAGAAGAGCAGCCAGTTAGTTAGCTAAGAATGATTGTCATGGTTCTTTCTGGTCCACAAAAAGAATCACTTTGCTTTGATTCTCATGTACAACAAGACTGGCCTTGTTCTATCCACAATGGAAATCACTGTCTCTCACTTAGAGGGAAACTCATAACGCAATCACATTGATCTTGGGAGACAGTATCTTGGATACCGGCAGTTTGAATAATTAGATTGTAGCTCTCAGCATGCACGGTCTGTTCATAAGCAACAAAGGAACTTATCAGATTCTAATAACCCTTAGTGCATATTATACAAACTACTGCACACAAAGACATTTACAGCTTGCAAAGAAAATTCCATAACCTAGGCTCTTTTTTTGCTGTGTGGAAGTCCAATATGCATTTTCTTTTCATAACTGAGACCATTTCTCTCATTAGCAAACTAACTAGAACATTTTTTTATTGATTCTCTAAATGTTCTTCATTAAGGAAAATCTGAAATTAAAACCCAGGAACAGGGTGACCTTGAAATCATTCAAGCTTGGATCCAAAGTCAAGACACATCAAATATATTGGGTAAGTTTCTACTGATTAGTGTAAGTTGAACCCTTCAAACACCTAGCGACTTTTAACCAATAGTGTCCTTTGTCCAGATCCCTAAGTTCAGAGAATTCATCCGCCTCCAAGCACCTCAGATAGGGATGATTCAGATGATAAGGAGGCCTTGGTGCAAACCCTCGAGTATGAACCACCCTCCTAGTTGGATGTGATGAATCACCTGGGATTGGTAACTCTCCTGCGGCAGCCCCTGGTGAACCCTGAGATGTGTCTCTGTCTTTGACACAGACAGTCGAGCACATGTTCAGATAGAGATGCTCAGAGAAAGTGACTAAGCTCTCATGGGTACAAAAATTACCAAATGTCCACACACAGCTGTTGCAACTCAAAGATCCTGGGAGTGATGCCCCACTCTTTGGTACTTCTGCTCCCGACTTGGGTTCTGCATTGTTTAGCTCCAGTCCACTACCTTGATTTCATGGCTCTGGCCCACACTTTTGGTTCTGTATTACCTCACTTCCTCCTCTGTGGCCTGAAACCAGTGCCTTTACCACCATAGACATCAGCTGTCTTTGCCCTCAGACAGCCGTCCACAAGGGTGTAGTCCAGGTTGCTTTGATCAACTGTCATTTTCCCCAACACAGTGGCTTTTTGCACAGTGTTCCAAGGAGTTTCCCATGGGCTACAGAGGTGTCCCCAAAGATTTGCCTCAAGGGCTGTCTTTTGGCAAGTGGGAACAAAGAAGACCAAATAGGTAAGACTCCAGGCCGCCCCCAGTCTCAATCATTGGTTCACCCTTAAGCGAAGTGTGTTACATTGGGCTTGCACAAAAGGATCCTGATGCCACAATGAAATGCTTGACAACACTGATGTACGGGAAATGGCAAGGCTTGAGGGAGATAAAGCTGTTCCACGCACTCCTCCTGAAAGCACCACTCTCAGCCTTCAGCCCCTCCTCCTGTGTTTGTATCCAAACATAAAGTTATTGTATTATTAGTCTTTCATCTTTTCATTGTTCATGTGTTAATTGATCTTCTCATTGTCCCCTCAACCCACCTCGCATTTCCCTGCCTTCATGGCTCTGTTCAAGCCATTTCCCATCCCAGTAGGCGCCCTCCCTGGCAAAATCATCCTCCGGAGAGGGACAGGCTCCTCCTCTGTGCTCGGCAGCACAGCACCCACGCACCTGCTCTGAGCACAGAGCTGACATGTTCTCAGCCCAAGAGTGCCCAGGATTTTAATCAATTCTGTGGGCCTCCTTTTCCTAACCTTTAATAAGAGTATAATAGTGATATTTAACTCACACATTTATTATAATAATTAGGAGAAATGATATGTATGAAAGTGCCGGGTAGGTCCTTCACTAAATAGACATTTTAACCCATTAGTGCCTCTTCCTGTGTAACAGCTGCCTCCTCCCTTGACTGTTGTAGGGCAAGAAATGGACCTCGGGGACAGTTTATTGGACTTAACTATTATTTATTGAGTACTGTGTGCAAGGTATGGGCTGCAGCATTTCACATTTCCTATCTCATTTAATCCTCATAAGACATCCATGAGATAGGCTCCATTTATTAGCCCTGTTTAGAAAATGAGAAAACTGAGTAACAGAAAGCTGAGTAACAGAAAACTGAGTAACTTGCCCAAGATTACACAGATGATAAAGTTGGGATTCAACCTAGGTTGGATGGTTCCTGAACCCAGGCCCTTATCTTAATACTGTATTACCTCTAACTATTGATTATTAAATATTTGTCTTGTGCTGGGGGTTCAGCTCAAAGTTTTAAACTCATATAAAATCTTAAGTCCCCCCAGCTGACTGAATGTATCCCCCTCTCAGCCAAGGAAACTCCAGAAATACCCTAAAGCTGAGTTGCTGGCCATAAGAAGGGAAGACAGACACACCTCATCATGCCCCCTCCCTTCTTGAAGATATCCTTTGTAACTCATTAGCAGGCCTAAGGCTATGCATGACAAAGCTTAAACCACACCTGCAAGTCCTCAATTTACTTAACAGATCACAAGTCTGGGTGTATGTCTGGTGCCTCCTCTGTGATTAATAGACTTCCTTATCTTAATTAAAGACATCCCAAACCTTTAGGCAAACCTTCATTTCTTTAACCAATTACAAAGCAAAGAATCTCTAAACCCATTTATAACCTGTAAGCCCCCGCCCCATTTGAGATGTACCACCTTTTGGGGCCAAACCATTGTATACCTACGATGTGTTTATTTATGACTTTATGTGTAATTCCCATCTCAGCAAAGGTATAAAACCAAACCATAACCCAAACACAGCAAGTCCACTTGCTCAAGGCTTCTTGGGTGTGGCTCAGGGCCATGGTCCTCAAACTTTGCTCAGAATAAACCCCTTTAAATTATTTTACAAAGTTTGGTTATTTTCCATTGACAAGATGATGTGGGGCTCAGAGAAGACTCAGGACCCACCTGAAAAGGGGTAGCGCAAACTCAGCACTAGGTACTAGTGTGGCCTGCATTGGGCTCCCCAACTCTGAGCTTTTCCTTCTTCCTTCTCAAGTGGAACTGGTCCTCCTGAGCTCCAGACCTCCCCTTCTTGGTCGATGGTCCTGGTTTATTCTGAGCTGGTTCTTTTCCTAGGAATTTGTTGTTTGGGATCCTAATTTTGATTTGGAGGTGCATTCTAAAGAGTCTTTTCCATTACCTCTTCCTACTGAAATTAATCTCAGTTGGCTTTTCTGTGCATTTGTGAAAGAGGAAAGCAATCTGTCTTGTTGTAGATAAATGAAAGAAAGGCCGTTTTGGTCCTCCCAGCCAAAAAGCACTCCTGGGTGACCGGGAGCCTGAGTGGAGTTGCCTGGGGTGATTCCCCAAGGCATGAATGATCCTATAAGGGAAGCTGCCAACAAAATTAATTAAAAGAAGGCTCATCCAGGAAATGCATATAAAAGCTGATCACTGGGCATTTTGAGCGGTTTGG